TTTCTTTCTTTCTTTCTTTCTTTCTTTCTTTCTTTCTTTCTTTCTTTTTTGACAGGGTTTCTCTGTGTAGCCTTGGTGGTCCAGGACTCGCTTGTAAACTAGGCTAGCCTCAAACTCACAGAGATCCACCTGCCTAAGCCTCTCAGAGTGCTGGGACCACAGGCATGCGCCACCACACCCAGCTTCTGGTCTGTCTTTCTACTCCTTGCTCAAATAGAGAGCTTCTAAGGTTTCATCTTCTGGAAAGCCAGGCTTGGGTTGGGGTGTGACTCTGCCACAAAGCGCTTTCTAGAATTCCCCAGTGAGGGGCAGGGGATGCCGTTCATTGACAGAGAGCTTTCCCAGGGATTGGACAAACCTGTACTCCATCCTTGGCAGTGCATCTACACACAAAGTCAGGCCTGCTTTCCCGGTGGCTCCCCTCTTGTTATGGGTAAGGGCTGGGGAGGTGACCATCTGAATCGTCCGTTTCTCTCTTCCTGTACTACCTTGAATGCATGGGTCACTGGGCCTCCTCTCCTTTCTGGTCTCTAAGCTCCAGTGTTTGCTTTGGGCTAATGGTGGCTGCCAGGGTGTGGGATGTGGGGTGGCAGGGGCTGCCACCTCAGGAGACAACAGGCTTCATTACCCAAATAGGCCTCCCTAGCCTGATGGCAGGCTCCCTACCTCCCATAGCTAGATAAATACCATCTGTCTAGTAAGGCAGCACAACTGGGTGGCTGGTCCTTCCTGAGCCAGCTTTCTTCGTGCTGTGGGGTAAGTGGGGACACTTCTGAATTTGTGGCCCCTGTTGGTAGCCCAGCAACCATTATGTTCTGCTCACCCAGGGTCCTACTCCAGCCTTCTGACATCCCTCCTCCTGCACCCTCAGAGGGTTGATAGCCTAGGCTGATGGAGATGAGCCTGTGATACTAGACAAGCCAAGAGGAAAGGACTTGGTTGAATGCATGTGAGGGGAAGAGTCTGGTTTAGTGCAAAAAGTCTAGGGCCAAGGTTCAAAAGCTGTGAGCAATGGGGGAAAACAGAAAACCTCAGAGAGGTGGGAAAAATGGAGAGAGGAAGGGAAGGAGAGAAGGAGGCAGGGGCGAGAGAAAGAGATGCATATGCATATTTGAGCACAAACTCAGATATGGTTCCTCAGATGTCATCATGCTATCTACCTTGGTTTTTGAGACAGTCTTTCGTTGGCCTGGAACTTGCCAACCAACTAAGCTAAGCTGGCCAGCCACTGAGCCATAGGCATCCATCGGTCTTCAGCCCTGGGATCACAAGTGTAGACCAGCAAGCCTGATTTTTTTTCTGTTGGTTCTGGGGATTGAACTCATGTCCTCAAGCTTGCAAGGCAACCACTTAACCTACAGAGCGCTCTCTCTCGCTCCCCCTTTTCATCTTTATCTGTTTAACACAGAACCTTGCTGTGTCACCCAGGCTGGTCTGGAACCTCATCCTCCTGCCTCAGCCTGCAGAGTGCTGGGATGACAGGCCTGTGCCACCACTCCCTTCTTGGAACTTTTACAACTGTCCTCCCTGAGGCTTCCACCCACAGAACCAGGGAACACAGTGTGCCGGAAGTGCTCCTTGGCAAGGGTGAGGCTGTCTGCAGGCTGACTTTCTCCAAGTCTAACTGGCCATTTCTGCCTGCCACTGGACCCCCTGCCTGGCTGCCCCACCCCCACCTTTCTAGCTGCTCCTGAGAGTCTCCCTCTCTGAAATCCCCTTTGCTTCAGAGAACCCTTATCAGAGGGGATCTTTGAGAGTCTTCTAATCTGAGCTTGGACTTGTTTTTGTTTGCTTGTTTATCTATTTGAGACAGGGTCTCACGAATCTCAGGCTGGCCTCAAAACCTTAAATTCCTGTACAGCAGAGGAGAACCCTGAACTCCTTGACCCTCGGTCCTCAGCCCGAGTTCTGGGATTCCAGGCATGCTCAAGCACAGAGTTTATGAGTGTGAGAGTGGGGTGTTTGCTTTTGTTTTGGTTTTTCTTTAGTATCGGGAGGAGCGCATGTGCATGGCACACGTGTAGAAGTCGGAGGACAGGCATCTCCCTGGAGTCAAGTCTCTCCAGCCACTTTGATGTGGGTCCCAAGAATCGAACTCAGGTCACCAGTCTGGGCAACAAGCACCCTTGCTGGCAGAGCATCTCCTAGCCCATGCTTTATGTTTCCTCCTTCACCTAGAGGGCAAAACTAAAGACTCCTGTGTACCTGGCCACCCTCCTTCTTGGTGCTCACAACCCCATTTAAGAGGTTTTAATGTTCTGCCTCCTGTGGGGAGATGGGGGAGGGCAAGAACAACCCGGAGTTATTTGGCCTCAAGCAGTCTCTAAAGAGAACAGTTCTGGGAGTGTCTTCTGTCCCTCCAAATACTATCTCCCTATAACCTCTCCCCTTTTGGACGCCCATGGACTGAGTTGGAAGGGCCACTAAGCCAGCCCAAGTGGAATGTTGTGTGAACAAAGCAGGAAGCCTGAGTTGGAAGTGAGTGGGTAATGGGAGCCCCTTTGGGGGAGCCTGGGAATCCTAGGATCCTTGTGGTTCTCACCTGTAATCCTAGCTCTTGAGTGGGCTGGAGCAGAATTGCTATGAGTTCCAGGCTAGCCTGGTCTACTGTGTGATATCCTGTCTCAACCAGAGAGAGGGGGAGAGGAAGGAATATTCTCCTCTCCTCTATGTAACCCCAATAACTGAACAACTTTGATAACTACAACAGTGTCCCAGAGTGAGCAGCATCTGCTGTTTGTCTTGAGACCTTAGACGCCACCTTCCCAGGCAGTCTCATGATGTCCAAGGGCGGGGGAGGGGGAATGGGACAGGGAATTTGAACTTTCCACATCGGTCTCAGCGCCTTGAACTATCAGGTTGCAACATGACCTGGGCTTGAGGCCAGAACTTGTGGGCCAAGGTTACATTGCCTCCAGCCAATGGGGTCGCTAGGCTCTGCAGCCACGAGGTAGACCACGCTCTTCTGCAATCCCAGCCCCTGCTCCAGGTCCCCTACTAGGCTGCAGGTCTAGAGCCAGCGATTCTAAGAAGGGGAGGAGGAGGCTCACTGGAGAAGAGCGGTATTTGCAGAGAGGAAAGATCAAGGCCGGCTGGTCCCCCTTTCTCTCCTACTGTTTTCGGTTGATAATTTATCCTGGTCCCTCTACTCCCGGGAACTTTGCTCCAGGGCACTGGGCCAGGACCCCAGTTCGCGCCCTCCTCTGGGACACGTAGGTGGGGCTCGATCTGGGTGCGGCCCGGGAACTGGGAGGCGTGTAACAGTGGGCCCCTGGCTGCGTTACGGTCTCCCACAGATACTGGGTTCGGGGAGCCCGGGCTTTCCAGCTCGACCCAGGGCGGACTGCAGCACCCCCTGCCGGCTCTAGGCAGGTCCCGGGCACCATCTTCCCGCCAACTTTGACATAGCATTCTAAATTAGGCATGGTGGCTCATGCCTGTAATCCCGGCATTTGGGAGTCTGAGAAAGGACTCCAGCCTGGCCTAGCTCCATGTCAGCCTGAACTTCTCTCATCACAATAAATCAAACCAAACAAACGGTGTATGGGCAATAGGCGAGTGAGCAAGAAACTGTTTCCGTGTAGGTCGACACTGGCTCTGAGGGCGACCACGGGAGAACCGCAGTGTGCAGGGAAACTAGTGGGATTTTGCGGGGACGGCTGTGGTCGGACGAAACAGTCCAGGAACCACCCGAATGGAGGGAGGGAGTCGACGGGATGGTTTACAGCCTGGCGAGTGTGAGGGACACCTGGCATTTCTTAGGGGCAGAAGCAGAATTACCCGAGAGAGGGGCCCACCTGTAAGAGGCCCTGCAGAGGTCCTCCAGCAGGTGATGGAACGTAAGTGATTTACGAAGGCTCAGGACCCGGGAGAGGGATGATGCCTAGGTTGTGTCCAGAGACCCCGTGGTGGTTCGGAACCACAGCCCCGGTACGCGGGCCCACCACAGAAAGCTGGGACTCGGGCTCCCCAGTCCACCCTCACCTGTAAGCCAGGCTCAAGCACTCAAAGAGGCGGGTGAGTGTCGGATCGATGCTGCGCGGCCCGAAGTCGGAGAGCCCCACCGGCCCCTCTTGGTCGCGTCGCCGGGTCAGCGAGTCGCTGTGCGGGGAGGACACCATGAAGTGTCCGCTGTGGATGACCTGTGATCGATGCAGACCACCCGCACTGCGCCGGGGACTCGGATCCTCCAAGTCTGTATCCGAGTCCGAATCCGGGATGGGGACGACCCGGGGGACCTGCAAGTTCACCGCTAGATCCGCCAGCGCGCGCGCCATGGCCACTACGGTCGTCAATTCCCTACGCTCTGGGCAGCAGTTTGCGAGCCTAACACAGACCACGGGGCCTTATTACCATGGCCACGCCCCTGTCCTCCTGATAGGTCCATGCTGTGGGCGTGGCCTTGGTTGGCAGGTGGGCTTAAATTAGCATAACCAATGAGCCAGGTGTGAATCCACAGGTTCTAGGGCTTTGGCCGTGCAGCGGCTTTCTCTCTGTCGCCAGCACTTTTCAGTTCCTACTTCTCCGGTCTCAGAAAAAGTTGGCTGGGGCTGGGACTACAACTCGGTTGGTACAGTGCTTGCCTAGCATGCACGAAACCCTGGGTTCGATCATGGGCAGCACAGAAGTTTAGCATGGGGCGAAGGTGTGTAATGGCAGCCCTTGGGAGGAGGAAGCAAAAAGATCACAAGTTCTCCCAGCGTGGTGGCGCGCGGCTGTAATCCCAGCACTCTGGGAAACAGGCAGGCAGATCTCTGTGAGTTCGAGGCCAGCCTGGTCTACAAAGCGAGTCCAGGACAGCCAAGGCCACACAGAGAAACCCACATGATGGGTTTGAACTCAACATGTGCTCGTGGCACATGCATTCCCAGACACATAAACAGATAGATAAACTATCAGAAGTTCAAGGTCATTCTCTCTTTCATAGTGAGCTCAGTATTATCTCTCACCTGCCTTTTCACTTTTCCAGGGTCCTGTGTGGTTGACCTCCAATGCAAGCTTACACCCAGGTCCTCTTACGATTGTCCTACACCTGTGCAGCAAAGTTCAGAGGAGGACCCTAAGAGTCCACCCTCTTTACATCATCTTCCTGTCCTCAGGCAGGTTTTCTGCTCAGAAAGTTCTCTTACTGACCCTGAGGTCAAGCTTCTGTTCCTGCTTTTTTCCTCCCTCCCTCCCTTCCTTTTTCTTTTGTTTTCTAGACGAGAGTTCTCTGTGTAGTCTTGGCTGTCCTAGACCTCACTCTGAGTAGACCAGGCTGGCCTTAAACTTGGAGATCTGCCTGCCTCTGCCTCTGGAGTGGGATTAAGGGCATGTGCCACCGCCGCTTGGTCTCTTCCTGAGTTTTAAAGGACAGAGACCAGGCTGGGTCTTCACAACAGCCACTTAACTGAACTGGTAAAAGCCTTTTTCTGAGGCACCAGGTAGGGATGGCTCAGGGGTGAAGTGCTTACCTGTCCTTCACAGATCTGGGTCAATCCCCAGCACTGCACAAACAAAAACCCTTGTCTGAGGCACACCCGCGGGAATGAACACACAGCCGTGTATCTCAAAGCCTGATCTAGATGTTGGTTCAAACAATGCTTTAAGTGGCCCTAGCTTCCCCAGCAGCGCTCCTCAGGCCTCCTCTCCCCAGGTGAAAGATTAGCTGTGTCTGAGGTGGGTGGAAGGATCATGGGTGACTCTACTTCATCATACACCCCAAAGCATCAGTTGCTTTTCAAAGAGCCTCATTTGCACCTCAATTTTATTTTCTGGGCTCTGAGAAAAACCTTTGGAGACCTCAGCAATAAATAAAAAGATAGGCTTGCCTATAAAACTTTTAGCACCATGGAAGCAGAAACAAGAAAATAATCAAATTTAAAGACCAACTTAATCTACACAGAAAGTTCCAGGCCTCCAGGTGGTGGAGCATGCCTCTAATCCCAGCACTTGGGAGGCAGGGACAAAGGAAGGAAGGAAGGAAGGAAGGAAGGAAGGAAGGAAGGAAGGAAGGGAGATAGCTCCAAACCAAGGCCGAGCCTGTAGTTTGGTTGGTAGAGTACTTGTCCAGCCAGTAGGAAGCTGTGGGTTCAACCCTCAGCATGGCATAAACCAGGGGTGGTGTTACATGTCTGTAATCTCAGCACTGGGAAGATACAGGCAGAAGATCAGAGTCCAAACTCATGCTTGGCTACACAGCAAGTTTGAGGTTACCCTGGGCTGTGAGACCCTGTGCCTCCAAAATAAAAGAGAGCCAGTGAGATGGCTCAGTGGATAAAGGTGCCTTCTGTCAAGCCTGATGACCAATCCTTGGAACCCACATGGTGGAAGAAGAGAATCAACTCCCACAAGTGGTTCCCTGACCTTCACCCATGCACACTGTTGGCTAGCACTCTCTCTCTTTCTCCCTCTCCCTTTCCCTCTCCTCCCTCTCTTTCTCTTTCTCACACACAGACACACACAGAGAAATGAATAAATAAGTGTAAAAAAAGTCAAACAAAACCTAAAAATAAAACAAACGAAAACAAACAAACACTGTAACGTGCAACATGCAAGAATGTCCCAAACTTTTGATTTGTCCTCGGTGCCACGATAGGACATGGCATGATGCCTCTTTCAGGTGGCACAGTGTGAGCTGGCCTGGTTCACCTCTCATGGCCTTTCTCTCTTGCCCTCTAGTACCCGATGCCCAGGGTTCACAGCCTGTTAGATAAGTAAGTGTGATTCATGGTCCACAGAGGTTACACGGTGAGTCCTGACTGGGTGGGGACACCCAGTTTCTCCAGGGGCCTTCCTGACACCTCAGCCTCTCAGGCTTGCCTCTCGAGGTTTTCCACTAGGCTGATCACACGGAGGTGTCAGCTCCTCCTTGAGTTCCCCATGCCTTGGTTCCAAGCACTGTACAATGGATTTTCTTCTACCTGGGATCCACAGAAGTTGCACAGCCTCTTTCCCACTAGATGGCAAATTTCCTGGTATGACCAGGACTCTGTTCTTCTCTATAGTCCAAGTTCCTCTCAAGAGCAAATGTGCCGGATGTGGTGGTTCATAACTGTGATCCCAGCACTCCGAAGGCAGAAGCAGGAGGATCTTTATGAGCTCAAGCCTGGTCTACATAGTAAGGTTCAGAATAGCCAGGACTACATAGGGAGAGCTTGTCTCCAAAACAAAACCACCAAAAAGCACTCACACATACAAATCCCGAGCTGACATGTATTTGCTGAAGAGATGAGCTTATGTCACATGGATCTGCTAGCTATGTTGTGTTCATCTGATCACCTATTGTCCATCTATCTACCACCATCATTCATCCATCCCTCTATACATCTGTCATCTGTTACTCCAGCTATTATCCATCTATCCATTTTATCTGTACATCATCTATGTATCTCTCATTTATCTTGTCTGTTCTCTATCCACCATGTATTTAGTTGTCTATTCATCTACCACCATCCATCCATGTACCCATCATCTATCTACCCACCCATCAATCCATTCATCATCTCTTTATCCTTGTATTCACCCATGGCCCATCCATCTATCCATCTATCTGCCCATATATTGTTCATTCTTCTAATATATTGTTCACTCATTTGTTCACTATCCATCCAAGCATCTACTTATCTATCTCATTTTTTATCTATCCATCATCTATCCATCTATTATCCACTCATCTAACTATCCATGGATGCATCCATCTACCAATCCAATCCACCTGTCTGCCCATATATCTATCCATCTATTATTCATCCATTTATTAACTGATCAAACTCTCCATGAGTTATCTATCCACTCGGTGTCTTAGTTAATTTTCCTGTTGCTGTAATAAAATACTGTGACAAATGTAAATTAAGGGAGAAAGTGTTTACTCTTGCACATAGTTCATATGTCATGGAAGAGAGGTCAAGGCAGCAGAAGCTTGAACATATGGTCCTACCCTCCATCAGGAAGCAGAAGGCATGCAATCTGCTGCTACTGTTGCTTGACAACTTTTCTCCATTTATACAGTCCCAGATCCCAGCTAGGGAATGGAGTCACCCACAGAGGATGGGTCTTCTTATCTCAGTGAACAAAATCAAAAGAATCCAGTTCTGGACATGTTCACAGCCTAACTCAAAAGCACTCTAGATTCTGTCCAGGTGACAACAACTATCACATCATCTACCAAGTCAACTGCCATTTTTTTTTTTGAGGCAGGGTCTCTCTATGTAGCCTTGGCTGAACTGGAATTCACTATATAGACGAGGCTGCCCAGAACTCACAGACTCTGTCTGCCTCTGCCTCCTGACTGCTGGAATTAACAACACCTGGTCCCATCCACCCATACATATGTCATCCAATCATTTATTTATAAAAACACTACTAATTTATTATCTTTCTACCTGTCAATCTACACACACACACACACACACACACACACACACACACACACACACACAAGGTGGGGAGAATTATGCACTAAGAACCTACATTTTTGGATTATTGACCAACCACTGTTAAACAGCAATTCTAAAAACTACCAGGTGTGGAGATTTGTACCTGAAGTCCAGGGTGCTAAAGCAGGAAAATCAGGAGTCCCAGGCCAGCCTGGGCTACAGGTCCAGACCTTGTCCCAAACAATGACAACAAATCAGAAAAAATAATTATCTAGCACTTTGCTATCCACAAGACTGAAAATACATTAAGAGCCAGCAAGGTGGCTCAGTGGGCAAAAGTACTTGCTGCCAAGCCTAAGACCTGAGTGTGAGCCCTGAGCCCCACATGGAGGAAGGAGACATCCAGCTTCTATAGTTGTCTTCTGACCTTCCCATGTGCAAGCCCACAAACTCACAGGAAAAATAAATAAATAAACATTTAATTTGAAAGGAAACTAACTTGAGCTGCAGAGATGGCTCCGCAGTTAAGAACACTTGTTCAACTCCCAGCACCCACACGGTGGCTTATAAACACCTGTAATGCCAGCTCCAATCTGATGCCCTCTTCCCCAGGCACACACGTCATACATACACACACACATGCAGGTAAAACCCTCATAAACATAAAATAGAAATAAACTTAGTGAGGAGGTGGTGGCACATGCCATTGATCCCAGCACATGGAGGCAGAGGCAGGCAGATCTCTGTGAATTTGAGGCCATTCTGGTCCACAGAGAGTTCCAGGACAGCCAAGGCTACACAGAGAAACCCTGTCTTGAAAAAACAAACAAACAAACAAACAAACAAACAAACAAACAGTGGCTAGGAGTTCGGGAATGAGAAGCAGACAGGGTATAAATATGGTTTTCTTTTGTTTGTTTCTTTCTGGGGAAGCAAGGTTTTTGTTT